AGGATTTGGCACTCTATTTTTAACATTTAAATAAAGCAAATCAATTACCCTATCGCAAAAAGGCGCTATTGGTTAGTGACATTTATGTAGATTTTCTGTAGCATGTAAAAGTGGCCTTTGTTTTTCTAAGTGATATTTTCTGCTTAGAGTCAAATTCTTTTCATGCAGCTTACAAAAATAAATACTTGTATTTTGCTAAGATCATAATAGCTCATTAGAAGAGGCTGAATTTGGACCTAGACTAAAACCTAACACCACAGGGCTGAGCATGCTTACTTGAACCTATAATGTTGCTAGTTCTTGCTCTCTGGGGAAGGAGAGGACTAGGGGAGAGGATTCAGCCTTCTTAATTGTGAACCTCATTAGTGACGGTTGCTAGGCAAAACACACACCTACTTTCAGTGCATATGAAAGAGATAAACAATACGTCATAGACCATAATGACTCTGGTGCTCAGGGCGACCTTTAATTATTATATTTTTGTTCCCTTATACCTTAGTTATTAATGCAGAAAAACAAATTAGTTTTGTGTGTGTGGACTGCAGCAGATTTGTAAATCGTTTTCTATTTTTTGATGTCTAGATCGTATTTCCTTCTGATAATTGTTGCTTGCCTCATTCATTTCTCTCTATGCCCATTGGTAAATATTATTTGAAACGTAAAATGACAATGATTGTATTAGCAGCTTCGTATTCTGTTATTACTTTAATTAATTTTATTAGTGTAAAAAGCCATGATCCTGTCAATATGTTAGTAACAACTCGCAAGAGGAGTCCCATGGAAACTGATGTACATGGCCCGGCCACGCAGCCATACATCAAATCACAGTGGGTTTGGGAATTCTAACTCTATTTTTTGAGCCCTATGCATTTAATTTTTGGTCAGCCCTGAAGTGATCAGGCAGTTGGACTAAATGATCATTGTAGGTCCCTTCCAACTGAAAATATTCTATTCTATTCTATTCTATTCTATTCTATTCTATTCTATTCTATTCTATTCTATTCTATTCTATTCTGATTTTATTAAAAACAGGTTACCTGAGAGCCGGTTTGCATCTTTACGTTGGTGTATTTTACAGTGAGAACAAAGTCATATTTAAATCTAAGTGATTATTTGGGGCTTTGTGGGAGAATAAATACATGTGTGCACGTGTATGAGCGCAGCTGCAATTGCGTGCGAGTGATTCGGAGGCTGATGGGCTCCAGAAAGATAGTATTTCACAATTCTGGATTTTCAGAGACACTTTCCATTCTCCTCTTCATCTCAGACTATCTTCTTTTAGCAGTTCAGGCAAGAAGTCAATCACATTGAGTCAGTCTGAAGAAAAACATTTTATGCTGTTTTTCTCATACAAACCCCCTCCTGCCGTAATCTGCAGTAAGGCCCAGCCACAGGAAATTGACCTCACAGTAAATTCTTTACAGATTCGGTCATGTTTTTACCATCCACTTAAACTTGCATACATAACCTGAGACTGTACCTCTGGATCAAGGAATATGACAAGCCAAAATAAAATCAAGTCAAATTAAATAGCAAGAAAAAGCTGCAAGCAAAACAAGACTGAAAAAAAAAAAAAATAGAAAAAGATGAAAAATTGGTTGTGACTGCAAAACTGTAAGTATTAAATAAAGAAAGAAGTCAGAAGCAAATTCAGGAGCGGCCGTATTCTGGTTGACAAGGGCTGAGAAATACTAATGGGCTTTTTTAATGGGTGGTTTGATAGATGAGAGAAGAAATTATGTAAAAGTAAATGTAGTAGTGTATCAACATAAAGTATGGTGCAAAAAAAAAAAAAAAAAAAAAAAAGCATTGCAAATAAAAAAGACATGTAAATGTGTGCCTACCATTTTCCAGATAAGAAGGGGCCGTACCTTCTGAGGGGTCAAGGCGGCGAGCCCGCCTCCCGTGTTTGGAATTGTTGTGTACAAACATGTTGTCTGAGACAGCCAGCACGTGGCCATCCACATTGACTGTTGTTGATACAACAACCTGGAAAAGAAAACAAAAACCGAAATTTAAAAAATCCTGCATGTTTTCACAAACATAGATGCAGAATCAGATCTTCTTTTAAGACAAAACAACATCACAGCCTGTTACTTTTCGCTTTAAACGAAGGGAATGACAACTATGAATACATCTTTGTTTATGTGGCTAACACTGGTGATTTTTAACTCACAATTGTTTCTCTTCAGAACCTGCTACACTAATTAGAGTTTAATCTCCTATTATGCTAACAAATGAATTCAATTCAGGGGAATATTCTTCTAGCCATTAGTTTCAGAAACACCCCTCTAGCCACTCATTTTAAAAGCTGCTGTTTTGATTGATCTGTTGATATATTGATTAGATAGTTTATCTAATTAAAATTTGTTCACTTGAGACTGTCTTGAAATGAAGGGTTGTGAGGATTCCAAATAAAAAAAGCTTAATAAATCAGGAACCATCGTAACTCCCCATTTTTTCTTCAGTAAATGATCTCCAGGTCAGTTTTACAATTACATTTAATGTCTGATAATGAACTTTTTTGCATCTGAAAAGACCAAGTTGAATATGAATAGTGAAAGTGTTTTCAATCCATGAAAAGTATCCCTTCTCAAGTTCATTTGGATGGTGATTGACCCTGGTATGTCAATGGAATTTCCTCCTTTATTTTTGAGTGAAAGGCTCCTATTCTTGTGTCCAGGTTCAGAGTCCGGCCATAGAAGAGATGATGGATAGGGCCTTCTTTGGCTTCCAGCTGCTTCTCAGTAGAAAATGGAAAAGGAACATATGCAAAACGCACAACCTTCCCGATAAAAACACCTACACAATGGAGTTGTGAAACTCCTTCCGGAAACGATATCGCACGAACAGAAGCCAAAGAGGAAACCGTGAGATGCGCCTGTGTTTGTTGGAACATGGCTTCATAGGTCCATCGCTATTATCCCAGATAGACATTTACATCTTATTTAAATACTCCAGCATGGGCCCTGTGGTGTGGGTTCCAGATTTTCTAAATGAAGTAGTCACTGCAGCGTTTTTTTTGGGGTTTAACGTTAGCAGAGTCCTTAAAGTCAATGGCTAAGTTAGGCCTTGTCAATCCTACTGGTGATGGCAGTAAAAGCCCATACAAATTTTAGCTTTCGCCTTCTGTTTATTTTACTTTTGGATAGAAAAAAAATTATTGCCACGGTTCTCACACCAGCTCCCACACCCAAACACTTAGTGAACAAAAATGGAAGGGGAAAAAGCAGCCTCCTTTTGCACAGAGCTGGTCCAAGGCATCAGGAGAAAATTCTTGCCTGCTTCTATGTTTTGGATCACCTCTGATCCTGTTTCTTATTCACAACCCATAATTAGCTTTCAGCTATCACAGCACCTTTTCTGTGTATCCTGCCTCCTTTGAGACAGCCATCTGCGGTACCCTTTAGAACAGCCCGAGGGCAGCTCTCTGCTAGGCTGCTCTGCTTCCCTACCTTCCTCCTCCCAGAAGTGGACACTTTCACCCTTGTCAACATCCACTTTGGAGAGTGCTGAGGTTGCACACTCACCTCGGCCGCAGAGCTGCTGCCAGGCCGCTGGGCTATCTGCTTTCACTTTTAATGAGGTTCGCCGTTTTTAAGAAATATTGCAAAACATACAAGTGTGATTTTCAGCAAACATCTCTGGATTTGGTTCCTAGACCATGGTATATTAAAAAGACAGAGAAAGGTGTATCTAAAAATGATAACTATTTTTGTTCTGTCATGTATATATAGGTCAGTCACCAAGGGAAAATACTCTAGTTCAGCAAAAGAAAGTAGACATGCTTTGTTGTATCGGCTTATTCCTGCAGTGCACCTAAAGAAAGGTGCTGAGACAGTGAAACCAGTTAAAAATATTGTTCAAGATCTGACATACTGTTAAGTCCAGTTAAACCTTCTGAGAGGCAGGGAGATTAGCTAAAGAGACCCAGGAAAGTCTTTCTAGTGCCTACTGGCTCCATTGTCGACCACAAGATCACTCATGACTGATGCTTCATTTAGTCATCGGTGAGACAAAGAGGACATTTCCACTCATTCCAGGTTTGACCTTCTGTTCTGTTCAGATGGATCAATATCACCAATGCCACGTGAAGCTGAGATGCATGAAAAATGGAAGCTTGGCTCAATTGTTTTGAAGAAATATTTTTTCCAGCTACAGATCTTTTCTGTTGGCTGGCTCAAGGGTTCTGGCTTCACCGGTTGGTTGGCTGTGCATGAAAACAGATGTCACATGTTTTGCTATCAAGTTTAACCACAAGTTATTCTTCTCAAAAATAAGAAAGTTTTGAACATCTCAATGCTACTTTATTATTAGTCTCAAATATGAATCATTGTGAAATATTTTGAAATAAAAAGCATGTATTTCCTAACAAACATTTCAAATGACCCCGAATATGGAGGAAATCATTTGTCCATCACGTCAGCTGTCTCTCTGCAGTGTTATGATTCACCACAGGATATTTCAAAAGCTGTAAGGAGAAAGTGAAGTATTAAATGTTTTCTAACACAATTGGAATCGAAATATGTGGGTTGGACCACCACTGTTGGATTTACAAGTTGTGAATGTGAAAAAACCCTGTGTGAGACCCAACCTTCACTGCGCTCCACAGTCACGTCTGTTAGTAAGACCATGCTCCTCGGTCTACGTATGTAAAACCTCTGCAGGTCTGAGCACACGCCACACTACAACGCAAGGTCTTACTGTGAAGGAAAACTAGGGAAATACTTTCTGAGGAGAGAGCCACTTGCTTCAGCATTGATCTACTACAGTCCACGGCCAGTCCTAAGAACCAGCATTTAAATTAGTGGGGGAAATGTGAAATTCCGACAGTGTTTTTTTTTTAAAGGCACACAGCATTGGAGCTACACTAAGTAGAAGCACTGATACTGGTTTTTTATTTTAAAAGTTCAAGACGAAAATGTGAGTAAGTCTTTTACACATCGTTTATTCTTTAAGAAGGATCTGTACCTGGAATCTTCGCATGTCTCGTGGGTTGCCTGCATTCTTCAAACAGTTCTGATTGCACTTGAGGAAAAACTTTAGAAAGAATCTATAAAAATACAAAATTGAAATCTATTAGATTCATCAAAATGTAAATCTAATTTTAAAAAAGTTTAATAAAATTTAATCATAAATAGTTATACCCAAAAGAATGCTAGTAGTGAAATATTACTTTCCTATTAGTTAATGAACTTATTTTAAAGCATAAGATCTCTGTCGTAAACAGAACATTATTGCCAGGGAAAGGCAAATTTATATTTTTAATTTTTCAACAACTACAAATGTATTGACTCCAGGCCATATCCTTAGCTCCGTGTGGGAAAGTTGATTTCAATGACTCATTGACTTCAAAGGCAATGACTTACACCAGATGAGAATTTGTCTCTATTTTTTTAATACATTTTATTTTTTCACAACTTATATTAGCAGTAATGACCTCTATGTCGAAAAATTCCAAGGTAATGAATGATCAATCTTCTGAAAAACACTTGGCTTTGCCTCCGGTTTGGAAACTCTCGCTATTCAAAGGGACTCGATCCAACTCCTGCTGACTCCAGGGAGATCCAGGCGGGATCTGCCCACCGGCAAGGCCCCGGTTCCCTCATTGTTTTTGAAAGGAGAGGAACATGGCAAATTAGGCCCTGTCTTACGACCTCTTCAACCTTTGCCAGCCTTTAACTGTGAGGAGTCACTCTACCCGGGGATGGAAATCCAGCTTATTTTTGCTGAGTGGCAACCAGCAATTATTTAGGACTAACCCTTATTATCTAGGCATCTCCCCATAAACCGTTTTTGTAGCAACGCTGCCTCCCGGGAAACACAGCAAACACTTATAGGAGTGGGAAAAGCTTGGCAAGGTGTAAACTCCTTTATGCTGCCCTCCTGTACTGACATGGGATGTCTCCACCCTCCAGGCTATGCAAGATGGGGGGAACCTGGCCGTCCTGCCCTCGTGCAGGAGGATGTTCACGGCCTAACGCCTCCTCTTTTCTTTATGTGGCTATGTTTTCACAGTTCATAATTAAAAAAAAGTTCTATAGGTCTGGTTTTGGGCTAACAATTGACAGCTAATGACAAGCAAGGCTCAGGACTTTCTCCTCATGCAGAGTTTCTCAGATGCGCCAGCCCAGCAGTTTGTGCCGCCCAACTTCATACACGTTGAATAGCCAGGTTAGGCAGAGCTTTTACATTTAGAATATGAACTATTATAATTTACTCATGTCAATCTTTACAAGTGACTGGGACTATTCTCGCTGTATACACCTCACAGAAGTTTCCATGTGCCAACAGCATTCCTGGCCAGAGGCGAGCCAGGCGCCTCCGCCCTTCTTCAGAACCCAACACGGCCCAACCGCGGCCGATAGAAAGTATGACTGTGGCTGCACCGCGTCGCGCTCACTCCTGTGGAGCTTCAGGGGTTGGACAGAGGAGGGGGCCGGACATATCACAAACTGGTGCCCTTAATCACAGCTCTTCCTTTTCAGTTAAACCTTGAGCAGGACCCTAATATTAATAAGGGATGCTAATGCTGAAGGAGCAATCTCTCGTATCAGAGAGGCAAGGAGGGAAACGACTAGGTTTACTGAAACTGTGCATAAATAAATCAATACTGTCAGTTCAGCTGAATGCATGTTTCTTTAAAAGTTCCAAAACCTGTAAAGAGGGTTTAGCTGTTGAGCTGAAAGCAAGCTGGATTTCCGCGGTGGTTGGCATGATCTCCTAGCTCAGATGCTCACTTGAACTCAGGTTTTCTGGACACTGTTGCAGGGACACTATCAGCAACGCCACGAAACTGCATCTATGTTAACCACACCCTCACCCTAATTTTATCTGCCTTGGTTTGGGGTTTTTTTTAAAGATATTTATGATCTCCAGATCAGCTGAGTATAGCCTAACCGTAATGGCATTTCTGTCATACCTCTATTCTTTCTTGCATATCTTCCACCGCATGGACAGCGATGGTGCGCAAGGACCGGCTGATGCCCACGTCAGTACGGGACCACCAGGCACTGGAGAGTCAGGAGCTGGGGAGAGCCTCCAGCTTTACAGCTCCTTAGTGCCACAGTCAGGCTGAAGAGGAGTATCTTACCCATTTTTTTTCTCATCTCAAATGGGTGTTGTGAGGCTTATTGAGCTAATGTTTGTAAATTGCTCTGAAATTCTCCAATGAATTGTGCACTAGGAATGCTAAGTATTGCTCCTTGTGGGTTGTTTTTAATGTGAAGCATTCATGATGAATTGTTTCTATACAGAGAGCTCGCATCCTGTCAAAAAAAAAGGGCCATTAAGCACCCTTCCACTAAACATCAACTGGAACTGGTATTTGTTCAATTATTTGGTGAAAAGGACCCACGTTTGGTGGAATTGGACATCTTCAAGTTTACCAGGATGACCCTGAGCACTGGGCTAACTATTGAAGCCACAAGGCTGGGGTAAACACAAGCAGCACTCGTATTTCAGCTCCGCTGCATTCCTTGATACTGAGATATTTTATTTTATTATTTAATCTGTGTTTTCAGGGAGTTCATGGAGCACAGGTGGCATCAAGACAAGATTTTCAGAAGAAGCCAACACAAGTTAAAAACCATGTTCCCAGGCAGGGCGTTTCTCAAAGCTTGCGGGAGAAGACGACTGACTTGATCGTTCCTCTCAGCTGACCAAAAGGACAGTGGGCACAACGAACCCGTCCCTACCGCAGAGTGAACAGGACCAGACACTTTCTCTACGATCGCCGCGCTCCCGAGTCAAGATCGCTGCCACACAGTAAGAAGCAAGGAGCTGGATCAGAGCTCGGTTTGGTTGTGTCTCAATCTTTGTTGCTACCAACAGAACGAGAATGCAAGTCTTTCTAGATTTGCCCCTCCCTGCTATATTTTGCATTATGCACACAGATGTAGTCTTTTTAATAAATACAGTCTTGCAGGATAGCCTTCCTAAACATACTAAGCTGTTCCTAAAATACTGATATGCAGAAAAATGCAGTCTTTGTGATGTTCCTTTGCTCTGATTTTTTCACACTGCTAGAAAGGGGACTGCTACCATCTTAATTAAAATGTATTACCTACCAGAAGACTTCACTATTTTAAGATAAAATTTACATCTTTTATTAACTCACCTCACCTATACACTTAGCTCGCGGTGCCTCTCAACGCCCATCTGCCATCCGCGTACAGTAAGTCACTTGATATTCCACCCACCAATTTTTCCTAACAACCACTGTGCAATTAAACTCAACACGTTCTGTTGCGAGGTAAATTAGGCACACCTGCGGCCAGACTTCATTTGAACTGCATCAGAAAAGGACCTAACAAGGTGAGAGCGTACCACAAAGTTATAGGCCTGTCAAGCAATTAGGTTTTCACTTCTGGGACATCCGCACAGTGCAATTATGCTACACATTACAACCTGGCTAATCTTCTGAACAAATGTCATGTCTCGGAGAAGCTAGTAAAAGCAGTTCATCTGCAAATGTGTCTGCTCTTAAGCCTCCACCTTATGCACATAACAACCTACAGGAGACTTTTTTGTGATATGAAAGATGTTTTTCCCATAGAAGATTTTTTAAACCCTGCAAGTGCCTTTTCATCCTTTTCACCTCTTCTTAACCTTTTTTGAGAGGAGGTGTTGTAGCAAATAGACCAGAAAGACTTTTGTACTTGAATTTCAACACCAAGCAAGAAAATACTTGGTATTATAAGCACAAGTGGTGGCTCTAGTTTGGTCAGATTCAAATATTGTTTGGCTAAAGGAATATTTGTGGCAGAAAACCACCTATTACATCCTAGAAACATCATTAATAAAGCGTATTTCCACCAGACCCCAAACAGAAGCAGCGTTCATGCAAATAAACCTCAGCAGCAAGTA